GATGTATGGTATATGGAGCAGCAGCAAAATTATTGTTAATAAATTAGAGATAAATTACAATATAGGGCATTACATACAGCTACTGGAGCAACTAAAACTACCCCCATTAATGCTCTTCTATAGAGGCTGGAGAAGCTACTTTAGAAATGAGACGGGTCAAAATATCATTTTCATATTGGATCAGAATTAAAAGCAGTAGTGAAGAAACCAGGCAGCAGCATAATGAAGAACTGTTGTGAATATTCCAAATTTACAAGAAATGGCTTTGGCTGGACTGTGAATGGATGGGCAAAAATATATGAGTTGGATGAAAAGATATTTGCTAAAAATAACCCCATCAGTGCTGTATCACCATGGTTGTACAGCACTGCAGAAACAAAAGTTAATTTGAAAATACATGAAATGAAAAAAGAATGGAAACATAATGAAGTTGGGGTTAAAACTAGCATATATATTAGACAATTGTATTATAGTTTTTTAAAAATGTACAAAGATGGTTCAAAAAATACAAAGGGAAATGTGGGAATAGGGATACTCATTCCAGAGTTTAATGTATGTATACGTAAAAGATTAGCTGAACTTTTATCTATATAGACAGCATAAATGGTAGCAATTATTATTAGTTTCCAGTTGGTGGAGGAGGTTAGACTGGACAGGGTGGTGATTTGCACAAATTCTAAAGGTGCAATAGAAAACATTCATTCAGGAGGAAATAATAGGAAAGACCTCGTACTAGAAATTCATCAGTTTGTTTAGATTATTTAGGTATGGAATAGATTTCAGTTCTGTTGGGTTCCAGAACACGAAGGGGCAAGATAGCAGATAAGTTAGCTAAAAAAGCTTTAGGAAAGCAGAATATAGATCAGATCCCGTTTGGGAAAGGGGAAGGTAAATCAATCATTAAAAAGAAAGAAAAAGAATTTTGGCAAACGATTTGGGATGAAGATAAAAAAGGGAGAAGATTATATAGGGTTCAAAAATCTGCAGTTGTTAAAAATTATGGAGAAAGAAACAGAAGGGAAGATATAATAACTGGTCATACCTACTTGAATGAGTTTTTGTTTGTACTAGGGAAAAGAAATAATGATTTATGTGAGGGATGTCAAAGAAAAGAAAGTGTGGATCAAGTTTTGATGGATTGCATTAAATATGCACCTGAAAGGGAGAGGATGAGGAAAGTAATAAGGGAAAAAGGGAGAGATTGGAGTATTAAAGGAATTTTAGGGACAGATGGAGATAGGGAAGAAAATGTGGTTATTCATAAAGCATTGTTTTTATTTTTACATAACACAAAACTAAAAAATTAGAATATAATAGGTGGAACTATAGAGCTACACACTCCTGTACAGTAGGTGGCGGTATGCACCTATAAGCTGTTTGCAATCCGCTATTCAACATAGAAGAAGAAGAACAAAGTAGGCGAAGAAGAAAAGACACTCGTCACATGGGAGTTAAAAAGTCTTAAGGTATTATTGTTTGACTTATTTGTAATGTTCAGAAATACTTAAAGCCTTATTTCGACCGTAAGTGAAATTTATCTTGTTTTTAATATAAAAGGCTTTTTTTGTGACGGCTTTTCTAACAGCTGCTCGGCTGTCATGCTAACAACAGCTGGTGCTAACACAGGAGACTGGGTTTCCTTCTTTACGGTTATTATATTAAGGTTTATAAGTTAATGTTTTTCTCTCCCTCACCTTATATGATTAACAAGGAAATGACGCAATGATAGCAAATGTTGCACGAGTTTCGATTCAAACGAGAATAAACCTTTCTTAAGAAATTGAACAAAACTAGGGTGACCAGATTTGGGTTTCTAAAAAAGACACTTTTTTGACTCGGTGATATTTCTATTTCTAGATGTTAGAGAGATGCCTTTTAGTGCATTACAAATATAGGGCCCTAAAACATCAATTGATGAGAAAAATCAGCCGATTCTCGATGCCAACATTGATTTATCATGCATCCCTAGAAGAATTTCAATTCCGTCCAGAATAAATGGATATGCTGCATTTTAAATATAGTTTAGCATATTTT